GGCGTCGTAGTGAGGTCCGCGAGCGTAGGGCCCTAGGGGAGCAGGCCCCAGATCCAGAGAGCCCTCGCGAATCCCGCCACGAAGCAGCAGAAGTTCCGCCTGGGGAGGAAAGCGGGGGTCCCGGCGGTGAACAAGACCTAAGGGAAGAGAGGGATAGTGTGGGCGCTACCCAAAGCCGGGAAGGGGATGGGGCGGAGTTCAGAGCTGCGAGCTCCCGAAGGCAGGGAGGGTTACTTACCAAGCAAGGAAAAGACAAAGTCCTTGGCCTGGAGGAGGTCTGGTCCCGACTTGGACCCGTCAGTCCAGCTCTCCTGCACGCCCAGCTCCTCGATCAGCTGGGTTAGTTCCTGCAACTGCGCCCCGGAGCAGAAGTCGATGTCCGTGAGCGGCCGGGCTGGCGCTGGGGGCGGCGGGCCCCACCAGGGAGCACTTCCCCAGACCGCGGAAGCCATGCGGTTCTATCGTTTTGGGACAGGGAAAACACGGACGAGAGAAAGAATGGGCTGTTCTTTGCTTCCGAAAAGTCGCTCCTATTCTCTCTTCCAGAGGCCGAGATGAATACCGTAGACACTGTCCGTCAATGGGTCTGCATATGAAGGGCTCTAAATTTAGTCTTGAAAACGAACAAATAAATACCTCTTCTGTCCTTGCCCTTTTCTCACATGTTGGTCCCCTCCCCCATGGACCTTGTTCACCTGACTCAGCAGGTAAAAGGTAGCTGTCTGGCCCCTTGTATGGAATGCAATTGCTAGTGTCCTCCGCCATCCCTTGTATACCTCCCCTTACCTCTTTATCGGAAGAAGTTTATGATCAGTGGCTTCCCGATTACGAGGAGCTGCAGAGTTGGGAAAAGGATGCAGAGAACGAGTCAACAGGTAACTTCTTCCGGCTGCCCACAAGGCCACGCCCCTAAGTTACGACTACGCCCCCTTCTGGATAGCTGTCCGGGTGGTTCCGGGCCGGCCCCGCCCCCAGTCAGAGTTCAGTCACTTTTTTTGCTCAGCTGAGATCTCGCTCTATCCTGGGAGTTGTAGTCTACCGAACTATCAGGGTGGGGGGACCACGCCCCCAATCCTTTTCTGGTCTGCTGAAGTAGTGCCTGATGGAAGTTGTAGTTTCTATGGAGATGAACTGTTCTGTGTCTTTCCAAGCCCAGGTCAATCCCACACAAACATTTATTAGCCCTAATGCGGAGGGGGTAATAGGATGATCTGAATAGCAAACAATAATGGGGACACACCCTAGGGCCTGAGGAAAAATAGGGGTCTCTACATCCCAGTGTGAGTAGAGAAGCCCTGGTCACTTAGATCTAGGAGGGTTCTTCCATGCAGTTATCACTTGGTTTTGGAGATGAGACTGCAGTTTGGAAAGGTTACACATGACTTGTCCAAGGTCAGAGCAGAGCTAGAGAGGGGACTTCCAAGCTGCATGGGGCGTTTTCTCCTTGGAATCAGTGGTAGTAGTGTTAGGTAAGAACACATAGGTGGTGGCCCAGGAATGAACATTTGACTCCAACCCAGGGAAGATATATATATATATTTTAGTGATGCCCACCTCAGACACATGAGTGGTGGCAGGGAAAACACTTTGGATCCTCAAAGCTCATGTGTGTACACAGAAGGATTATCAGGACCAAAAATGAAGTCCAGAGGAAACTCCCAGCTGGGCTGGGGCAAGGCAATGGACAATTGTCAGGGAAAGGAAAGTGCTTTCAGTTACCAATGCTATCAGGAACACAGTTCAAGTCCAGGATGAGACCAGGAGCCAGAATAATAGGACAGAAAAATAGGAAATCAGATCAGTCCAATCCATTGCTGAACCAGGACTTCTTACATCTCTTTTTCCCCTGGGAATGTCTTCCAAGTGAGACAGTCCATGGGCAAGAGAATTAAGCAGAGACAACGTAGAAAAATTAGAGGCCTGTAAAGGAGGGAATGCTCAGAATCCAGAGCTCAATTTGGGGAGCCCAGATTCCAGTGACAAGATCTCTGGAGAGCTCTTCTCCCTCAGCAACCAAGAACCACAACACACAGCAGGTTTCCATATATCTGGATGTGACCAAAGAAGCCAGATCAGGAAAACTGAAGACTGAGCCCTTTGTCAATCTCAGGTAATCAAGCGCTGGACATCCCTATGTCTTACCTCCTCCCCAAAGGGTGGCTAGCCTCTGAGCCACCCTAAAAAGAACTAAGTTTTCTAGACTCTGTGGGAGCTTTGAAGATGCTGGAGATAAGGGACAAGGGAAAGGAAAGTTCCTCTAAACTCTAAACCATTGCTGTCCAGAAAGATTTTCTGTAATATTATAAATCTGTGCTGTGCAATATAGTAGCTTCCCATGGCTATTGAACACTTGAAATGTAGAAATGAGACTTTATATTAATTTACATTCTAAAAGCCATAGTTGACTGCTGGCTATTGTACTGAACAGTGCATCTCTAGGGCTTTGAGGATAGTGGGTTCAGCTATGCAACTAGAGAGGAGAAGCAGAGGCAGTGTTAGTGTTTGTCAGGCCCCGTGGGTAGCCAGTGTCAGGAATGGGGCTGGGATGGAGTCCTCAGACAACTACAGATCACTTCTCTCTCCTCTTTATTCCTGGTGCACCTTTGCTCCCTCTTTTCCCAAGGTCCTCATCACACACTGATATCCCCACTCCTTGGTCTCTGGTTAGTTGCTGCATGCCTCTTGGCAAAGGCGCCTGGGAGACAGAGCTTCACACTTGTCCTTGCCCACTCCAAACTGTCTCTTGTGGGCATCAAAGACCACATGCCCTAGGTGGGAGCCTGGCACAAGACAGTAGGGCTTCCAGTTGATTTTGGGAGGCATAGGCATCTGGCAATAGTTCTGGCAGGCTGGAGAAACTGAATCCCCAGGATGGTACACCCAATCTTGGCTGCCTGCTCGCCGGGAGGATGGCTGCAGCTCAATCAGTACAGGTACTTCTGAGGAGGTTTGCAGGACATTACAGATCACTTGGGACTTGGAGGAGCAGTTCTGACTGAGTGAGACAGAAGTGGATGGTACATGCTGTTCTGCATCCTTCTTCTGAGGAGAGTCCTCAGGTACAAATGATTTTATCAAGGATTGTGTTGACTTTTGGGTCTGATGTGGGTCCAAGATTTGGACAGAGTCAGTACCTGTAGCAAGGCTGGGGTTCTTGTGGAGGTCAGGATTTGGGATAAAGCATGATGCCTTGTGGAGGCATGATTCCTTGGTAAGACCTCGACTCTTGGAGAGGCAAGAGCCTTGAGTAAGGGCTGGGCCATTATGGGGGGCAGGGTCTTGATTAATTCCTAGGTACTTGTGGAAGTTTGGGTCTTGGATTTTGTCTGAGCTCCTGCAAATTCCAACATCTTGGGTAAGGCCATAACTCCTTTCGACTTCAGTGGCTTGGGTAAGGCCTGGATTCTTACGGAGGTCAGAATCTTGAGTGAGGCCTAGGCTCCTGTAGACTCCAGAATCTTGAGTAAGGTCTAGATTCTTATAGTCTCCTGAGTCTTGGGTGAGGCTGGAACCCTTATGGAGGCCAGAGGTTTGGACAAGGCCTGGGCTCTTATTGACTCCAGAGTTATGAATAGGGTATGGGCTCTTCTGTGGGTCAGAATCTTGGGTAAGGCCTAGACACCTAGAGACTCCCAGATCTTGGACTTTACCTGCACTCTTGTAACCTCCAACATCTTGAAAAGGGCCCAGGCTGTTATGGAGGCCAGTTATTTGGGCAAGTTCTTGACTTTTGTTGGGTATAGTCTCTTGGTTTTGTTCTACATTCCTATAGACTCCAGAATCTTCCATAAAGCCTGAGCGTCTCTGAATGTCAGAAATGTGGGGCAGTGGTTTGTTCTTCTGGAGGCCAGAGGGTTGGGTGAGACATGAGCTCCTAAAGATACCTGCATCTTGAGTAGGACCTAGGCTCTTTTGGGGGCCAGAATCTTGGGTAATGACTGGATTCTTATGAAAATCAGAGTCTTGGGAAGGGCTTGGGTTTTTTAAGAAATAAAGGTCTTAAGCAAGGCTGGGATTCTTGTAGAGACATGGATTTTGGGTAAAGCCTGGGTTCCTGAGAACTTTAGAGTCTTTTGAAGAGCCTGGGGTCCTTTGGAGGCCAGAGTCTTGGTTGAGGCCTAGATTCTCGTGAAGTTCAGGGGATTGGGTTTGGATTGGGGGTTGGGAAATGGTGGAGAACTGGGAAAGGATGGGCAACTGGGAAGAAGGGACAGACTGAAAAGACATAGAGGTTGGAGGGAAAGTGGGGGACTTGTGGTGGTTGGTGGGTTGCTGAAGGACAAAGGACCTGGGAGAAACAAGAGGCAGCGAAAGAGTGCATGGTGGAGGAACAGTACACAGTGAGCTCCGGGTACTGGTTGGAGAATGAAAGCAAGGTTGAGAAGGTATAGCATCTTTGGAGTAGACCAAGAACTTGGGGTAGGCTGGAGTCTGGGAGTCTGTGTTTCTTCTCTCAGGACTGCAGGGATGGAAGCTACAGAAAGTCTTGGGCTGTAAAAACTTGTCTTTGGCATCACTGCAGATCTTCCATTGAATATTCCCCAACTCCAGGTAATCCAGTATGGATCCTGTGGAGGGCCTGGCACTATTCCCACTATGTTGCTTCAATATTTGCTCAGCTGTACCAGAGTTTACCAGGCCCTGCCCCTCTTGGGGCCTGGGGAGGGTGCCATCCTTTCTGGAATATACAGAGTTCAGTGGGAGATGCACATGGAACAACTTCTGCTTTCTCCCATGGACATCATAGACCACGTGGCCAGTGGAGAGCCCTTGGCTGAAGGCAGTCAGGGTAGAGGGAATAGAAGTTAGGATGGAGGGATGGGTGATGGCAGAGACAGGAACAGGGACTGGAGTGGTATTTAGGGCTGTGACCAGTGCTCGGTCAGGGGTTGGGGCAGAAATTGAGACTGGGGCTGAGGCAGACATTGGGGGAGGGGCTGTGGCAGAGGTGGGGGCAGGGGCCAGTTTGTGGGCACAGGTATAAGTGACACAAGCATGTGCTACAGTGCAGGCTGGAGCATGGGCTGTTATGTGTTCAGGGGGGTGGCCCAGGGGGTTGGCAGAGGCATGTGAGGGGGCCTGGGTGAGGGTGTGGGCTGGGGTGTGCTCAGGGCCATGGACCTGGGTGGGGCAGTGCGCAGGAGTGAGGGCTGGCGAGTAGGTCTTGGCCTGGGTAGAGATGTGCTCAGGAGTGGGGGCTTGGAAGTGGATCTGGCCCTGTGGGTGGGTGCGCTCAAGGCAGTGGATAGGGGAGCAGGTCTGGGCCTGAGGTGGGGTATGCTCAGGGGAATGGACTAGGGAGCGGGTCTGCACCTGGTGGGGGCTGTGCTCAGGGGGATGCACTGGGGAGGGGGTCTGCACCTTGTGGGGGCTGTGCTCAGGGGGACGAACTGGGGAGGGAGGCTGGGCCTGGGCTGGGGCCTGGGCTGGATCATAGTCTGCGGTCTTAGTCTTGCTCTCTTGGGGCAAGCAGAGTGGAACCTTGTCCAGCTTGCTCATCCTGGGGAGCTCAGAAGATGTCTTTTGCCTGGAGAGAAAGGTGGCTTGGGCCTCGAAGGGTGTGGCCTGAGGAGCACCCCCAGCTCCCACCATCCCCTCCTTCCGTAGTCCCCATGAAGCCTCCACAGGAGCCCTGGTGTGTCTACACTGAGGCAGCATACAGCAGCACCTTGAAGCCTTCTCGTCATTCATGTCTGGTATCCTGGAGTCAAGGTGGTTACGCTGCTCGAGCAGGAAGCTTGGGCGATGATGGAAGCAGGAAGAGACTCTTGAGCACAGGTTCTTGGGATCCGCAGAGCAGCACATACACATGGAATGGCTGCCTAAACGGCTGGGCTGCTTGCCTGCAGGGAAAGGTGGGATGGGACAAGACCTGGGCTCCTGAGGGGCTAAAAATGGGGACAGGGATCAGAGAAGGGAGACAGGCCCACATCCCCTTGAGCCCACGCTGAAGCCCACTCACCTTTGGGGAAAAAATGATGGAAAAGAATCCTCAGGGAGCTCTTCAGATGCCTCCAGAGCTGAGGGAAGTAGGGGAGGGGAGAGTCCGGAAACAGGGTGAACCCTGAAGCCCAACACTTGTCTGGCCACATCCCAACAGCCCTCCCTTCTCAGCCCCTTGGAGACCCCAGGACTCCTACAACCCTGCTACCCAGACCCCACTCTGACCAGAGTCACCACATTGATCCCCACATTCAGCAAGATGAAGCTTCCCAGAATCAGAAGAATTGAGTCTCCTAGCTCCTGGCACTTTCTGGGGTTGGTGCCAGAGCACACTTGGGCTCCATGGTGGGCTCGCCCATCCATGACTGGGGTCCCAGGACTGCCTGGGACCCTCCTGGGACCCCTGGCCCCCACATACTCACTAGAAGCCAGATTCCTCTGGTGGGGGAGGGGAAGAGGGACTAGGTCATAATGCAGCAGGTGTTTGGGGTCACAGTGAGGGAGGGGAGGAAAGGAGGGCCCAGGGTAACATTCCCTGGTGGCAGGGTTTGTGTGGCCCGAGCCTGGACAGTCAAACAGGGCCTGGAGCCTGAACATCTCCTCTCTTGCCATTGTTCATTCCTTCACTGTCCACTGCCTCACTCATTCACTCACTCACTCCATCCCCTTGACCCCTCCTGAAACTGGGAAGACCTTGGCCTCAGAGCCCTGGGGAAAGCACGGCTGGAATCCAGAGTCTTGGCCTTCTTACTGTCCTCTGGGCCACAGACCCTGATCTTCCCATATGTGGAACCCCAGGTCTGGAATCTGACCTCAGCTTCTTGTGTGAGGCTGAGCCTCCAAGCCTCCTTTCGGGATAGGGAGAGCAGAGTCACAGAGTAGGTGCTCAGAGACCAGTGGTTTGTAGTCTGCAGCTGCAAGATCTACTTCGTGCATGGTGCAGGACCAGGAGGGGCCGGCAGGAAGGATGGTGGCCACTTGGCAAAGGGGAGCGTCATGTCCAGAAGGGGACCCTGGCTTCTCATTTCTGGAAGCCACGGGCAGGAACCCAGGCTGGTAGAAGGAGTGGTGCTTCCAAGTCACAGACCACTACAGCATTTCCTGGACTCTGTTGCTCTTTATTCCTCTCTCCAGGCCCCTCCCCACCACCCACCCACATTCACCGCTGGTCAGTTAAGTTTCCCTGTTCAGCTCCTATACAGAGAGGGCCTCGAGACTGAGGTGGAAGGTGGTGGCAGTGAGCTGGCCCGAGCTCTGCTTTCCTGCACTTGCCACTTCAGCTCCAGACTGTCATACACCAGGCAGCTGGCATTGCCCACGAGGTTCCGGCTGAGTGGCATGAAGGTAAATGGGGGTGGGGGGAGCTCAGTAGCCTGGACGTCAGGGAGGGGCTGGGAGGACAGGGGGCACAGGGATGAACTGGGAGGCACAGCCTGATGGTATGAGGCCTTGCCCAACTCAGTGAAGGAGGTGGATGTGGTCAGAAGGTGCCGAGCCAGCAGCATCTCAGCCCATTCAGCTGCTCACTGCCTTACCTCACAAGGATCCCGGCAGCTATAGCCCAGGTATCAGGGAGGGGTGGGGGCTGCGGTTGGGCTAGCTATAAGCATGGGCAGGGCTGCTCCGCCAGTGGGACTGTGGGGAGGAGGGCTCCCGAGCCTCAGGACGGGAGTCCCGGGGCACCAGGGCAGATGGAGGCTCAGAACCCCCTAGACCATGCCGCTGATCCCAGGAGTCATACAGGAGATGACCCCCTGAGGGGTAAGGGCTATGCCTCCCAGGGACCCAGGAAGGATTGGGGGTAGCTGGCGGGGAGGTAGTGGTGATGGGGTCCATTCTCAGTCTCCAGATTGCCCCAGATGTGGGACTGAGCAGTGGTGCCTGCAAGCCTGAAGCCTCAGCTCCGACTTGGCCTCCACACGCTTGGGCACACCGCACGGCTCAGGTGACAGGTAGAGAGAGGGTGGTGGCAAGCTGGCCAGGATGCCACCCTGGTGGGCCCACAGTCCCATGCTGGAGGGCCGGCCCGTTTGCTGGTAGAGCTCTCCCCAGCCTCGCCATGGGTACTTGGAATGTGGGAAGGACAGGTCATCTCCCTCCTCCAGCTAGGAGTTCAGGTCCTCCTGATCAAAGGAGGGCATCAACGGCAGCTGTGACTTCTTGTGACTGCAGTGTTGGCTGTGGAAGACTGAGCGGTTGTGGGGGAATTGTCTGTGGTTCTTTGGCCTCTGCTGGGCGCAGCAGGGGTGGTGACATTGTCTTAGGAGGTGGCGGAGGCAATGACCACTGCGGAGATGGTGGTTGGAGGAAAAGGAGTAGCAAATGGGCTGGGCTATCTCCACTTCTACAGGGTCCAGGGGGCAGTGGATGTGGACATCTTGGACCTTGGCTGAGGAGGGATCTTTGGAGAAACTGTCACAAACCTGCAAGATTTCATCTGGGGGAGGCAAGAGTCCATGAGGGCAGGGCAATTGTCAGGAGAGGTCAGGTCTGGGAACACTGGGGCTTGGGTTTCTAGGGCCGCAGTGGTGGCAGGGATGGGGGTCTCCTACCTCTCTAGCTGCCATACTTACTTTCCTGGTTAATCCAATAGATCGTCTTGTCTAAGGCATTCTGGAGCCCATGTCACATCTGCGGGTGGGGTGGGAGTGAAGGCCAGGCTCTCACCCCCCCTCCCAGCCAGGACTGCTCCTGCTCCCACCCTCAGCCCTCTTCACCCATAGGGGTGTTCCACAATCCTCACTGACCACAGTTGCCACGTTTATCCCAATGTTGACAAGAACCATAAGGCCCAGCAGTAGGAGTAGGAAGTCCTCAGCATCCAGGGGATTTTCTTGGTACTGATTGCAGCACCCCAGGTTATCATACCAGAGCTGGTTTTCCATGGTTGGGGGGTGTTCCTAGTCCACCTGGGCCGCCCCCCCACCAACCGGCCCCGAGCCACACTGCACTCATACTAGGACCTAGGGACACCTATTACCTGGTGGGGAAAAACCAGGTCATAATGAGGCATGTTGGGGGAAGTCACAATGCAGAGGTGGCAGCTCTTGTATTCACTCTGCTGGCCCTTTCTATGGCCATCTCTACCCTTGACTACCACCTGATGGAGTCCAGTCCCCAGATATCCAGAGTTCAGTCTGTCCCTCTGTTTCTGTGGGAGCTTGCTTACCTCAACATCTGATTCCCGATTTGAAAATATGGTAGCTTCAGTTGTGAGACTGTCTTCACAGGGATTGAAATATGCATAAAGGACTTCCTCTCTCACTGTTCTTCTGAGGCATTATGACAGCTTATATATCCTGTTGGTACTCCCCGCGCATGCTAACTTGGGGCCTGGAGCTAGAGCGACTGGATGGATGGATGACAGCCAGAGGGCCCTCTGGGGTCGCCCCACTGCACCATTTCCTCCCCGTCCTGCCCATTTCCCTGACATTGTCTCTCTAGCACTTACCCTACTCACCCCTTCCTGGTCAAAGATTGCAGCCCAGGGTGTTTGTGGTCACTGAGCCCACTGGCTCAGAGCAAAGGCTCTCAGCAAAGGCTTCACGGCAAGACTGATTTCCACATTGCTCGGATTGCTACCTGTGTCAGGGACCACCCTCAACCATGGTTTCTCTCCTTCCTAACCAACTGCCTTCCCACTGAGCCACCCTTCCACATTGAAAAATCGTTTCCTGTCACCTTAAGAAAACCACATGGAATTCACAAAGCACAACGTAGATGTAATTGTTAGTATGACAAAAGAAGTCTTCAGTTTAAGCCAGGTTCATCACTAGGGTCTGTGAAAGTGCTACCCTATCTTACTACACTGATGGATAGTGATTTCAATGGGGTACAGGGGGGACTTGATGATATGGGTGAATGTAGTAACCACATTGTTTTTCATGTGAAACCTTCGTAAGAGTGTATATCAATGATACCTTAATAAAAAAAGAAAACGTGCCGCCCTGGGACCTTAAGCCATTTGTTTGCATAATGAACTCCTCAGCAGAAAGAGAGGAACAGTCGTGGGCATTTCCCATCAAGCCTGCAAACACAGAGTAGGTGCTCAGTGCATACCCACTGAATGGAATCAGCTTAAAAAGATCAATAGCATTAGTTGAATGAGAACACAGACGCAGGGTGATCCACAAACAGCCTTTCTGCTCACCTTCTAGGAACCTGTCTGGTACAGGTGAGGTCTGACTCCTTCAGCTTGGGGGCACTCAGATGGCTCCTTGTTCCAAAGTTGTGTGGATGTGCACACGTGTACAAGTGTGCGTGCATGTGTATGATCCCAACAACCTAGAGTGGGGTAGGGCCTGGGCTTCTCTGTTTTGTGGATGAAATTTCTGATGAGTTCACATGGCAAAATGAGAAGATGAGAGAATCTGATTGGCTGGGCTGACTAGTGGCAATGGGAATCTACCTGTGGGAGCAGGGGGATGGAGCATTTGAGACTAT